TATATAGGCCGTGTGTAGTAAGTCCTTTTGTGTTATATTTTTTCCGACAAGTGAAGTCGAGGTTTTATTGAATTTATTTATAGGCCGTGTGGTAAGTCCTTTTGTGTTTTGAATTATTACGACAAGTGAAGTCGAGTTTTATTGAATTTATTTACAGGCCGTGTGGTAAGTCCTGAGATTAGTGAAATTATTTGAAGACAGTGAGTCTATATTTTTGAATTTTATTTTTATAAGGCCGAAATAAGTCCTTACGTATTGAAAGAGTAGGTTGATAAAATTTTTAATTCAATTAATACAGTTAGTAAGAGTTACTATTTAAGTATAGATGTCGTATGACTGGTTAATTGAATTAATGTAAAAAAAATTTGTTTAATAATAGGAATAATTATACTATTATTATTTAATTGTTAGATTAGTTATTTAGTTGATATTTTATTTAGGTAAATTTTAATTAACGAAATAATTATTTACGTAAGATTAATTTATTTTACGCTAGTGTGTCAATTAAATCTTAATTCTATATTTATTTTAAATCTGATTATTTAATTTTAATTACTTGATTATGACTATTGATTAATGAGTCAAAAAGAAACCAATACTAGTTTAACAGAAAGCGAAGCTGAAAGTATACAAGTAGTAGACCAGGAAGTTAGAGAAGTCGTATTAATTAAATCTGATATTATTAATAATAAGGATAGCGAATTAATTAAAGAAACAGCAGTAGTTGACGATAAGGAATTATTAATTGATTTAAGTACAGAAGAAGGTTATCAATATTCCAAAGATTTCGATAGGGAAAAATATTTAGAAGCTATTAGGGAAAAGGATTTATTGAATACAAGCATAAGACCGATAATAGTAAACGAAACTGAGCTGCGACAGATAGGTACTCGTACGCAGAAGGGGATAGTACATACGCAGTTAGAACCCGTTAAACGAACTAAGAAAACCAAAATGCCAGGAAAGATTCCATTAGATAAAGCCACCCTCATGATCCCTACATGTACCGGCGAACGGGACGTTTACCAATTCATAAAAGCTTGCGAATTAGCATGTTCGGCAGTAGAGAAAGAAGACCTACCTATTCTCACGAAATTTATTAATACCAAGTTGTTCGACCAAGCTTTAAATGTGTGTCGATATAGGGACACTAGTGATTGGGAAGGAATAAAATTAATTTTATTAGACGCTTTCGAACCTCAACAATCCACTTCTTCATTGCAGGTAGCATTAAATTCAGTACGTATGAGAGGTAACGAAGATGTAGGTGCATATGCTAGACGTGTAGAACAGTTATATTTCAATCTATGTGTAGCAAGTACAAAGGGTAAAAGTACAGAACAGGCGAATACAATCCGCGATCAGTTAAAGGAACAGACATTGGTAGTTTTTATAAAAGGGTTAATACCTAGCTTAAAGACCATCGTGAAGTCTCAAAAACCACCCACTTTAGAATTAGCTATACAGATTGCTAAGGATGAAGAAACTGAATTTAAGTCTGAGTCAGATGCATACCAATATTATAGAGGCAATAGTTCAGGTAGACAAGAAAACAACTCTAACGGGGATACCAGCAATTCTAATAGGCGGAATAATAATTTTAATAACACTAATCGTTATAATAATTATAATGCACCAAATAATAATAGACCTCAAAGTAATCAAAATCCAAATTTTAACAGACCTGATATAAATCACATTAATAGAAATAATTTCAACAATAATCAATATCAGCCTCGAAACAATAATAATTTTAATCGCAATAATGACGTAAAAAAGTATCACGAAAATCCTACTTGAGGATAATATTTGAGTAAGAATGTAAACAAAATAAAATATATACTGGTCAATAAACCATTGGAGAATTTAAAATTTTAAATATTATAATTGTTAATAATCAAATATTACCATTAACCAACACTTTATTGTAATCAATAAATATTATATATGTAAACTAACATTTATTATACATTATAAATATTATATTAATATTGTATTGGAACTATTGTATTTTAATCAATTAATTTAATCGAATTACTAACAAATATTTTTATCTGTATTTAAATTTTATAATATATGTAACATTATTGTATCAATTTAATCAATTGTAATACTCTAGACGAGTAATCTAAAAAAAAAAAAAAAAAAAAATGTACTAAAAATTATCATGTAAATTGTCATAATAAGACAATGATTAATTATTTATATATTGTATCTGTAAACTCATGAACTATGTAATTTATGTAAACCAATTGTAAACTTTTATCTATGTAAAATTTTAAAGCTTTTTGTAGCCCTACAAAATTGTAGCCCCACAAAAACCTTTGAAAGGGCGGTGAGGTGTAGCGAGCTGTGACTATTTAGCCATATGGGTTAAACACATTTAATGCATACGTAATCATATAATATTCGCACCGCGTATATATAAATATTATACTCGAGCGCTTCTTCGAATAGTAATAATATAATATCAATAATAGTAATATCGAGCGCGTGACCATGAGCGGCGTGCGACAATAGATATATGACTACGTATATGGATAATCCTAAAATAATATAGTTAGATTTGTGATGTTATTAATTATTGTTGAATAACACCACAAATGTGCTATATAGATATGTGTGGACTTCCGGCGCGTGCAAGCGTGTGAAAATCACAATAGGCTTAACCGCAAGACCATGTATGGTCTTAGAAAGTATGGAAGTGGCAAGGGACAGAGATCCATCGAGGAGAGCTGATGGACAAGCGTCCATCAGACGAGCAACCAACCTCAACTTCGACAGTCACACCACTAAATACTCATAGTCACAACTCGCTTTTAGTTAATTATTTGGACTTAGAATAATTTCTATAAAACTGTTTTATATAATAAACACAATAAATACTATCAAAGAGGTTTTGTTCAATTATTGCTTCCAAATCAACAAGTAACGCTGTAGGGCACGTTACAATATTATATATAATACTTCGTAAGTATTATATTCGATTTAAATTTTCAATGTTTAAAAAATAATCAGTCTAGCTCCATATTATTATTATTATTATTCAAATCGTGTAATTCCTCTTGTATTTATGTAATTCGTTTAGTGAAAGTTTAATTTCATTATAATTTTTGTTTTTAATAAAACTTAAAATATTTTCGAAACAACAATTACTAATGAAACGGAAGTTAAACGATTTTAATTGATAATGTTTTTTGTAATAAACATATTTTGCAACATTTTCGTAACAACAATTATCCAATATTTGATTCAATAATATATTACTAATTTCAGAATCAATATCAATATCAATATCACTATTATTAAATATAATTCTTAGGACTTTACGTTGTTGTTCAATCATATTTAAAAGTGTTTTCATATTTTCCATTTCTATTATTTATATTAGTAAATATTTTTTTTAACATCGAATTATTAAAACAACGAGTTGTTGAAAAACAACGTTAACGTAAAAAAAACAACGTTAACGAGTTAACGTAAAAAAACAACGTCAACGAGTTAACAACTCGTTTACTCGTTCATTTTCACATTCATTTTCCCATGGTGTTGTAGGTAATTCATTTAACATAAAACACCCTCTATAATTTTTTATTTTATTTCCAAAATAATTTATATCTATATTACTCAATGGATCAATTTTTACATTATTTTTTTTATCCAAAACCGTGTATAAATACCTTCAAATTTTTCTATATTATTTCTAAATGTTATTTCAAATTTATTCATTTTTTCAATTTTTTTTCAATATTTTTTTTTTTTTTTTCAAGCCAGAACCTTGTGATCTAATTTTTTCCATCTCTTTATTATGTCGAATTGTTTCTTGTTCCATTTTTTTTTTGTGTTTAGCATCAGTTACTGCAGTATAAAGTGCAGTTGTACCTGCAGTCAAAGCACTTACACCTTCAACCACAGCAATAGCTATTGGTAAAAATCCACCTTTTTTAATTTGAACATGTTTAAGTTCTAAACTTGATCCGGTATTATTTTTTTTAGCGTTTTTTAAATTTCTTAATTGTTCTGGCTCAAGAATAAATTTATGTTTTCCACTATCAATTTGATTATTTTCAATTAGAATTGATACATCTTTATTATTTATAATATATTTAATATTTTTTTAATATTTTATTAAATTGTTTTTTATTTAAATTTAGATTCATTTTATAATACAAAATATTAAATTAAATTAAATTAAATTAAATTCATTCCAAATCGTCTTTTAACATTCATTACATTTGCTGTAAAAATGGCTGCAGTTTTTTCACCTATAGAACTATGAGGATCATAAAATCTTTCCATTGCTTTTTGTTCTAAAATTTTATCAGCAATATCCCACTAAACATTTGATGTTGCCTAACATCTCTGCGATGTATGTTTTGGGTTGCATACGGAACATCACATTTCTATGTTTATAGGGCATTTTATGGATGTTTTCCTTTAGTTGTCACTTAACTATAAATGTATAACATACCAACAACGTTTCAAACTTACCTTTTACGGAACATCGCATTTCAATGTAAATAGGTTGTTCTCGGGATGTATATATATTAAACTATTATATATTATTATATCGGCTGTCGCCTGAGTAGGATGGTGGTGAGGGGGTTCTACGAACAACATAGCTATTTCTACTTTATTATTTATTATTAGACATTATAATATATTTATAATATTATTTGGGTTTTCTATGACGTTATTATCAGTTCATTGGTGACTATAATAACTATTGTATATATATATAGTGGGTTCACCGGTGCTGCCCGACCGGCCGCTATACGTCCGCACTCCGCCGTCGACACTCGAGTACTAGACTATCTATAATACTCGCTTGATTGAGCTCGTGCCTCGTACCAGTGTTCGTATTATACAATTTTGCATTATTGCACTTTGCAATTATTGCATTTTTACTTTATAGTTTGTTATTTTATTTGTTCAGTCTTCAGAGGTCAGTCGCCAGTGTTAAATAGTAATATAGTATACATAAATATAATAATATCATCATGTCTACGAAACAATCGCTAAAGAACCGTAAAGTAAGTTTTTATATTATTTAATTATGTAGGTAATTTAAATTTAATAACATAAGCTTTTTTACCATTACCACTTAGAACCGGAAGTATAATAAGCGATGGGTCATTGTTTCCTTTACGGAATCAAACGATTACAGTGTTGTGCCTGTTAATTGGCTAATTTTACCACCAACATTGGAGCTAACCGCGGACAACATTTCAATAGTTGAACTTTGTCGATGGCCTCCATTTAATGTAACGAGCATTGAACTAACAAACGCTGATGATCCAGAAGATTTATGGGGCTTATTCAAAATTAAAATCTTGTCCAGTAAAATATATGGTAGGTACTTTATAAAAAGTTTTAAAACAATAGGTTCGATTAATAAGTAATGCAAGTCAAATAAACTTGAAACCTACTTGAAATTACTTCATAATTCAAATTGTACCTAATTGTATTCGTTTACTTAGTCAATTTCAAAGAAGCCTGGCATCAACGTGTGGAGATTGAAAGTTCTGCTACAGAAAATGAACCTAAAGTACTCAAAAAGAAAAAGAAAAACCGCCAAAGAAGTTCATCTGAAGATGACGACAGTGACTTTGAAGGTATGCCTATTGCCTACTATTTTTTATACTTCTTTAAAAATTAGGTATTAATTTATTTTTATTTAGATTGTAGCATATCAGTAACACCTATCAGCAAAAAACTAAAAAAAGATGTGCCGTTAACATATACTGAATTGCTGGTGAGGAATTCTGATGAAGAATTCAATTGTGAACTAGATTCTGTATTACCACCGGCAGTAGAAATTGCAGCTAGTTCCTCAGTATCATACATAATTAATGATGATATACATATGGTAATACAAATTTAATTTTTAATTAGGTATTTAAGCACTGCAATAGTTAAATTTTAAAAAGTTAAAAATAAAATAGTATAGGTACTATGTTTTAATATAATATAGAATATACAATATCATTCCATCAATTTAAATTTATAAAATATTAAGTACCATAAAAAATTAACAATTGAACTAAATTTATTTTCATTTTGATGCGGAAATTTATATTTAATTGATAGCAGACAACGTCTCAGGTTAAAAATACTGATGAAATACAATTATATGAACCATTTATTGTTCCTAATACCTCATACAGTACAACCAGTGAGTATACTTACTTAGTATTTTATCTGAATTACCCATATTTTTGAATTAACTACTTCAATATTATTAATTTAAAATCAGTACAAATATTTTTTTATAATTTTTTTATTACATAGGTACTGGTAGTTTAAATCAGAAAATTCTTGATATTTTAACTAATATGCAATTGGAACAAGTCAACATTAAAAAAGAGTTAGTGGCATCAAATTTAATTTTGAATCGATTACTTACAAAAGTTGAAGTTTTGGAAACTAATTCAAAAAACAATAGTTTAAACTCTGCGATGGCCAACCAGTATATTGATTCAAATTTTCTTTCATTATTCCCAATTAAAGATAAAGATTAATTTTTATCAGTTGAATCAAACATAGTAAATGAAGTGGACTTTGTGTTGAAACTAGTATGTTATCTTTATAAAAAAACTAATTTAAACTTGGAAAATTTGCTTTCAATTTATCCTTATATTATTGTAAATAATTTTAGGAATCATTCATTAAAAGTATTGGTGGATGTGGACTAAAAAATAATATTACAAGGGTGTTACAAAAAATATTTAGCGATGAATTTGCTGTTATCTCTACTTGGACTGGACGTGGTAAACATATATCCATTACAATAGGAAGTTCTGAAGTGATAAAACTAATAAAAAGTTATTTAATTTACTATATTATAAATCAATTACATATAAACATACATTAACATTATACAGAAACATTATGATTTTTTTTAGGGTTTATTAAAGCCAATTCCAATGATGTGTTAACGGATTCAGAATTTGAAATCACTGTTGCAAATTGGCTTAGACATGCAAACACTCGTTTGAGTAGAGCAAAATAAGTTTAATTTTCAAAAGTTAGTATTAAGTTATTTTGAATATATTGAATTTTGTATGTAAGAATGCAAATATAGGTATAGGTATTGTAGTTAGAATGTAGATACATTTTAATTAATTTTGTAGTTAAACAAAAAAGTAATTAAATATTTAAAAAAATCTTATTTAAAGTTTAACATAACATTAAAATTAAAATGATTTTTCCACGGAGAAACCAATGTTTATTATCACCTCTAGGATAATCCTAAGACGTGATTTCTTTGACTGCTTATATCTACATAAACTATTGAATAGGACTGTCAATTGTACTCTCTGCCCCCGCAGGCATTACTATAAATAAAATAATAATTCTCGTTTAATATAATATAATATGTAACAAACAAATTAATATAATATTAATACTGGTTTTCAATTCTTATTTTTTTTGTGGTGCATTCAATTTAACTTTTTTAGATTGAATTACTTTTAACCCCTATTTGTGGACTAATTATTTTATTTTTATTTTTTCAGATTAGCAGTTCAAAGAAAAAAGATTTATCCCTCATATCAACAAAATATTTTAGAAGAGTACTAAAAGCTGAACAACAAAAAGTAAATTTGAATGTTACGTCCATAGTAAATAGTAATAGTATAAATTGTGTTAAGACAAACATTACAAACAATGATTTACCACTAAAATTATCAGTATCCGTGAAAGATCCCATGATGCCTGAATGTTTGTTAAATACATTAAATTTTGAAACGGTCCAATCCAATAACTTTAATTTGGGTGTTGATGCTTTTAATGATCCACCTATAACCAATCATGACTCTATGGGCCCTATGTTAGAAGTTGATGTACAGAAAAATGTATGTATAACAGATAAATTGCGTCTATTAATTATTAAACACAAAGTTTCACATAATTTTTGTAACAGCTTGCTTCAGTTATTGAAAAGTGAAGGTTTAGACGTTCCAAAAGATATTAGGACTTTGATGAAAACTCCTAAAGTTCATGATATTGTTGATATTTCTGGTGGTTCCTACATACATTTAGGTCTAAGAAATATGCTACTACCTATTTTAATTAAAAATAATGCTCAAATATATATTAAATCCCATGTATTAGAGATAGGTCTCAATATAGATGGACTTCCTGTATCTAAAAGTTCTAAAAGTCAAATTTGGCCAGCATTAATATCAATTTTAAATTTTAAATAGCTAAAAGAAAATGTTATACCTATAGGCATTTTCCATGGATTTCAAAAACCCCTTTCTATTGAAGAATTCTTAAATCCATTAATTATAGATTTATTGGAGTTAATAGATAATGGGTTGACTGTAAATGGGTTGTTTTTTACTGTAAATATTTCAAATGTGTCATGTGATAGCCCAGCGAAGGCGTTTTTACTTAATGTTAAGGGTCATAATGCATATTTTGGCTGTACATTATGTATAGAGGAAGGTACATATTTGGAACATCGTATGACTTATCCTGGTTTAAATGCTACGTTAAGAACTGATGAATCTTTCAGAAGTAAAAAAGATGAGGATTACCATAAAGGCAATAGTCCTTTAGTTCGTTTACCAATTAATATAATCAATACAGTTGTGTTAGATTACATGCATAATGTATGCCTAGGTGTAGTTAAAAAATTAGTTGAATTTTGGGTGAAAGGTAATAAGCAAGTAAGATTGGAAAAAGATAAAAAAGAAAAAATAAATAATGAGTTAAAAAAATTAAGACCTTATGTACCTTCTGAGATATGTCGCTTACCCAGGGCGCTGGATGAAATTGAACACTATAAAGCCACAGAACTTAGAACTTTTTTATTGTATACCGGTCAAATAGTTCTAAAGGGTAACTTAAAAAAAAAGTTTTACTATCATTTCCTATTGTTGGTTTATGCAATTAGAATTTTAATTTGTTCTGAAACCTATTCTAAGTATAATGAATTATCAACTCAGTTTCTAAAGAAATTTGTTGATGATTATTCCGCATTATATGGTTCTCATTACATTTCTTATAATGTACATAGTTTAATTCACTTGCCATTTTATGTTCTTATTCATGGTCCATTAGACAATTTTAGTTGTTTTCGTTATGAAAATTATTTACAAGAAATAAAAAAATCTATCAAGTCAATCAAATATCCTCTTCAAGAAATCTTCAATAGAATAGTAGAAAAACAAAAAATGTATGATACACTTCCTGCTCAATTACATAAACAATATCCTGTCTTAAGCAATGAAATAATACACAGTAATCCTTCACCTCTCTTTAATATAAATGATAAACTTTTTGAAAAAATCACTTTAGAACAAACAAATACAATTATCAATGTTCTTAAAGAAAAAGATAGATACATAATGCTTACTAATAACACTCTTGTTATGGTTCAGCATATTGTTCAACCGAAAAATAAACCTCCTAATTTAATTGTAAAACAGTTCATCAGCTGTTCTGAATTTACTAATACACCAGAATCTTCATTCAAAATCGGGGTTTACATGGTTGACACTTCTAAAATGTCTGAATTATATTGTATTAATTTAACTGATATAAAATTCAAATGTTTTTTTATTAGTCTATCCGACAATTTGGCATTAATCTCAACACTTTGTCATTCAGAGACTTAATAGCTTGTACCTTCAGGCTACAATTACACACTATTAAGTCATTCAAAAAAATTATATTCTTTTGTATGTATTATTTAACATTTATGTTATTTTTTAAATAAATTTTGTAACTGTATAGGTACCTATTATTTTATAATAATTGAATGTACTATACTATATATTATTAAATTATGTGTATACAATTTTTTATATAAGAATTGATTGTTTTTTTTTATTTATATATAATTTTTAATAGGTATTCAATCATTTTATTTCATTTTATATTAATCTAATAATATTATTATAATATATAACTTTGAATGATTTAAATCTGTTAATTTGCAAACAAATTGTAATCTTTAGTTTGTATTGTATCATTATTTATGTTATTTTGTAAATACATTTTTCACTTATATACCTATTCAAATAAATAAATTGGAGTTACTAAATTATAATGTTGTTTTTTTTTTTAAATTTTCAATATTTAATTAGGTGGTAAATATTGATTCATAGAAATTTATAATTTATGCATAGGTAATACAGGTATTATATTATAAATAATCCATATGTATAATATTAAAAAAAAATTATCAGCATTGTATATTTTTAAACAACTATACAACAATAGGATCAAACATCGCAGTGATGTTTTTAATAACATCACATTGAGACAGCTATGAAACATCGGTGATGTTTCATAGACGTTCTAATTTAATGTGGACGGAATATCGTGTTTGATTGTTGTAGAGATGTTACAAAGAGATGTTCCGTATATGTCTTATTTGTGACATCATTGCGGTACAAATACGGTCCCAGGGATGTTTTAAATACACTTATGGAACGCAATTTGTAATGTTCCATGTTTCATTGCAACAGCCTAGAAACGTTTGTGGTACAAATTATTGCACAGTGGGATGTCTTGTTTTAGTCTCTTTATTATCTTTATAAAAATAATCATGTTCTCTCGCAGCTTCATCTAATTTGTTTTTAGGTTTTTTTATTTTTTTTCTAACTTTGTTCCCGGTCCTAAATAATTATAACCAGGCCAATGCATTTCAGGTAAATTTGAACAATTCAAAAGATAATTAACAATTCCTGAACCTGTAATAATTTTCTTTGGTAAACATGAAACATATGATGATAAATAATCTGCACCATTAATAGGTATATCAATTAATTTTTCCATTTCTCTAATACAAATATTAAGAATATCAAGTTTTTCATCATGGTAAATATTATTTCCTATACTTTCTTCAATTGATATATACTGTATACGTTTAATTATTTTTTCTTTTGATATTTTCACTTCCTTTGGTAAACAAGTTACATATTTTAGTAAATATTCAATACCTTCAGGATTATCAATAAGATTTTCCATAATTGATTTAAATAAATGAACAATAACAAGTTTTTCGTTTTTAAAATTATTATTTCCAGCTCTTTCTTCTGAAGAAATAAACTGTAAATTATCTATCACTTGGTTTACATTACTAATATAACGATATTCAATACGATTTTCTGTGTATTTCTTTAAACCCTGCCCTATTTGATTATTTTCAGCTAATATTTCATTATTTTCTTTTTTTTTTTTAATTTCATTATCTTCATTATTTTCTTTCTTTTTATTATTTTTTTTCTTATCAGTTGTTTCTGTCATTTCTTTCCAAATCAGACTAATCATATCCTTATATTTTTCACTACGACTTGATTTAGCTCTTTTCGTTGGAGGATCATTGTTTTGATATATAGAATTAGTTTCAAATAATATATTTTTATAAATATTAAAATCATCATTATTATAAAAGTGTTTGGGTGTAGGAATTTGATGAGTTAATAATCTGCATAAACCTGGTGTTCCTATATATCTTTTTCCATTTAAAGTTATATCATCATTATCAAGATTGATTCCCACACAGCATAAAAATATTTTATACTTATGGAAAAAATATTTTCAGGAAAATAATATAGTTGTCAAAATATTTTTTAATAATTGTAAAAAAGTTGCGTAAATAATTAGAAAATATTTTATCTTTATTTCTTGGCTTAGAAGTTCAGATTTCCAAAATATTTTATAAAAACATTTTCAAAATGTTTTATAAAAGCATTTTCAAAATGTTTTATAAAAGCATTTTCAAAATGTTTTATAAACGCATTTTCAAAATGTTTTATTTTCAAATTTTAACAATATTGCAAATCAATATTTTCAAAATATAAATTAGTTGCCCAAGAAATATCAACAAAATATTTTGAAATTATTTTCGCAACTTTTTTACAATAATCAAAAAAATATTTAAAAACCATAGATTAATAATAATAATATTTAGACATACTTATATACAAATAAATAATACACTTTAGTATTATAATATTAAACATGATCTTTATTGTTTTTTTAAAAATATGATTTAGTTTAAATGGTATTTGTTATATTATCTTCATTTTTTTTTTCTTCGTCTTTAAACGGCTTTTCAATCATTAAAGATGGTGTATCTTTAAACTGTTTTATATTTCTGATAGCATCTATAAAAACAAAACACAAATATATAAGTATAGGTCCAAAGAGGCATAATTATTATCACAAGGGTAATTATTAGTTATCAACCCAAACTTCATCATCATTATACTAATAAAGTAAAAGTAAAATAAATATTTTAATAAATAAAATTTAATAACTATTCAAATATTACTGAGAATATGGTTTTACAATTATGCGTAGTCTGCGAATATTAACCAATATTTCTAAATAATTCTAACCAGAAGACTTTTTAAATTACAAAATTCAATAAGGAGGTAAATTATAATAACTCCATCTTTTGTAGATCAAAAGTAGAAATTTCCAAGTACCTATCAAAAAAATTAGGTGAAAATAAAGTAAATTATGAAAAACTGGTAAAAGTTCTAGACAAAAACAATTTTGTTTTTATTGTAATTTAAAAATGAATAACTAAATACAGATTTGAAATGTTGACCACTGTTACATGCGGCCCTTCAGGGATCCAAAAGCTTGTTGTACTTTTACAATAAAATGTAGTCAATTTAAATATAAATCAATTGTAATTTATTAAAACCAATAATAATTAATATAGTCGTGGTGAATTGCAGCGTCGTGAGTTGACTCGTTGTAGTAGTCGATAATCTCCATGTAAGTCGTGTGTAATGGCTGGTGGCTAAGCGGCTCGCTCGGTCTTGGCGGCTCTGGTACATCTAGTTAGGCTGTCTCGCTGTCCCCTATATATATGGTGGCGGCGTCCTTTGAAGTGAGCGGCGCGTGTACAGTCGTCCTTGATATGGACCTCACGACTATGAAAGTGGTATTCTTAGTCGAAAACACTTTTGGGTGTGGTCGCATTCCTGGTTGTTTTTATGAGCAAATATATGATATTGCGTAATCCCATTCCTGGTTGTTATTATGAGCAAATACATGATATTGCGTAATCCCATTACACAATCTACCGTAAACGTCTTCAAAGCCTGATGAAATTAGTAGGTAAACATGGGCGCCACACATTCTCCCACTAGTTTCAATCCGACCAAGAACACATTTTAAATCAAACTCGACTGAGCTACAACACTTGGGCATGTATAATGATTATTTAAACACTATTTAAATAATTCGATAAAAAAAAAACATCATAATCGAAGAGTCTCGCTAGAGACTCCTTTCTGTGCATAAGTAACACCGATAAAAAACAGCACCTTGACAACCGATAGCGAGACTATTATACATTAAGTTTCGTTTCGGCGCTCGGACCTCTCACTCGCACGCATTGGTTGAATGCAGAGTGCGAGAGAGACAGAGCTAAAAACTGCAGTTTTGTGAGTCTTTTTCTTTCGTCCGTCATAGCAACGTCATCCAACGCCGCGCCGTAGCAACCGCCACGCGCCGGCCGCTACCGTACCGCGAACCTCACCCACAACAACGGCTATTTACAGCTAGCTAGTTTTACGTTTGCAGAATTATTATTAATTATTATTTATTTTTATTATATTATAAAATATTTTTTACGTACTCGCGTTGTTGCGAAACCGAGGTCTCGTGCATTTACATTATTACATACGTTATTTTACGCGATTTATTGTTACAAAACAACAGCTACGTAAATATGTACCTATTATTACTATTTTAATACTATAATAATAATAATAATTATTAAATAATTGTGTTATTAATATAAATTTATAATTAATAATTTGTGACAACTCGAGACATATTACTCATGGCTCGAGAGTCATGTGGTTACCCGCCGGTTTGGGCAAGGCCACCAACCAGGAGTCGAGACCCGAAGGGCCGGAGCGTCGTGGATTTCTTTTCTTGTTCTTTTCTTTTTTTTTTTTAGCATAGTAATTTAATGATATATACTCAAAGGATGGACATATGGGTGACAGTAATAATTATAATTAGGGCCCGGATTTTTATGCAAAAATGTTTGTTAAATATGCACATATCGCTTGTTTGCTACAACAACGACATAACATGAAAAACATGATTTTACACAAAACGCATTTGAAAAATGTGTTTGCAATGATATGATGATAAAATCATATTGAATGTTTATATTGATTTAGAAACTTATTTTAATTGAAGTAGAGTGTTATAACACACTATATTCATGCTTTATTCTCACCTACAACATTTTTAGTATTATAAAATTAGGAGTTAGTTTAAGTTTTTTAACTTATGACACTATTGATGCAAAGATTGATTTTTAGTTACGAGTTATTTTGTAATATGTCGTTAATGCAAATTTTTTTTTGTTTTTTTCTACCTAATTTAATGAATTATTTGTAGTTATGACATTATTGTATAACTATTAATAGTAACACACATTTTAATAAATGCTTCAACTTACTTTATTAATTTAAAAACAAAACAGAAATTTAACTCTTTTAAATACATAACAAAACAAAACATAACAAAATCTTTTAGTTTAGGAACACATTAGATTAATATTATAGTATCACAGAATATTTACAATTGTTCATAATATGGTTTATAAAAGTTTGGTATACAATTTTTCTTAACTAAGTATAATAAGTCTTCTTTTTTCTTTTCTGAGATCCCTGGTTTTGCAGAAAATTCTTTTTTTAACTCAACAGCTACAGTTTTTTTTCTTCTGATCACAATAGCTTCTTTGAATTCTGCTTGAGAGTATGATGTTTTATAAAAAATGGATGATGGTGATTTTTTCTCCACTTTCATAATTTTAATATTCGTAAACTTCACAGCTTCATTTTCTGTGTTAACTGTAATATTTACACCAATTTGAGTACACAGACTTTTTATATCGTAAAAATCTTCATAGCATAATTCATGAACGCGATACGGCTCTCCAGTTTTTTTAGCAGTACGAATTATTGAGACAAAGGCTTCTGGAGTGTAAATAGGCCCACTTTTTAACTGTTTTTTACATTGTCTCTCTATTAAGGAGTGAACTGAATCACCTTCATTTTGAGTGTGGCCTTTTATAAGGTATTTGTGTGTGATGGTTTTTATATTTTTGAATTGGCGAACTGCATAAATGTATAATGCAAGTATAAATTTATTTTTATTTTGCCCGGGACAGTTATCAGAATAGAAAATTACATCCCCTTCATTTTTATCAGACTTCATTTCCAAATATTTCCATATACAAGTTCCTAACTCATTCACACCTCTGTGACCATTTGATTCATCCCATACAAAGCAATCAGCAATATTTTTCTGCATGTCATAAATAGTGAAATTAAGAACATTTAACTTTGACCTGTAATAAAATGTAGAAACATCTCCTTTTGGCAGTGGCATCACAGCTTGTAAATCATAAACAGCTAAAATTAAATTTGATTTTTCTTTATCAAGTTGTTTCTCACTTCTTGACAAATCTTTTTCCACCAAGTGTTCTTCATAATTATTTTTTAACTTATTTTTTTCTTCACCTATTGCATTGTCATAAGCCACACATGTATCACACAAGTCTTTCTTTGGTTGAAAAAATGAAATATTAAATTCTTGGGTGAAAATACGATAAAACAATACATAGTTGCCAAATGGAACATTTTTTTCCTTACAATCAGCCACATAATCCCTGTGAATGTCAGAAATAGACCTACTCCCATCGATGAAATGTTTTGAAGTGTCGGCTCTTGCATAGTGACTTTCAATTTTCGGAATTGAAGAAATATGTTTTATGATACCATCCCTTATGGAATCGTCTAATTTAACATGTTTGCCATGTTTTCCCCTTCTATCTCCTTCTAATAGAGTATTAACTATTTTATTTTGTTTTTCTAGTACAGTACGAATAGGTCGATCATTGATATCCAACGTATTCTTGAAAAATAATTTACATACTCTTACTTTCTGTTCTTTTAAAGTGAAATAAAATGCATTATTATTATTTCTTGGGCTTCTAGTACCACCTTGGCGAATATAACGATACTTGGGTTGAATGGTCTGCATACTATTTGAAATAAATTGTCTCTGTCTTTCAATATCACCCAACTCCCAAAATCCTGAAAACAATTCTTTTCTATTTTCATCATTGAACTTGGATGAACATTTAAGCTTGCAAGTTTCTTTACATGGAGATTTCATCTGTCTTTCTTTTCTCATCTTTTTGCTTGCACAATGTGATTCATATAACTGTCCTTTATTTCTCAACTTTTTATTTATGTTTCTCTTCCATTTATCTTCATTTCTCTGACGTTTTCTACCTTTTTTCAATGGACTAGTTAGCACCAAAGTATTTATCCCACTTAAACTTACCTCATTGGTTGAGTTCTCAATAGAAACAGATGCTCTGTTATCATTGTTTTCAATGTTTAATTCATCTTCACTAGTGCTATGTAAAATATTATTTTCTTTAAAAGGTACATAATTTTTATCACCAAAAATATCATCAAAGTCTTCAGAGGAAGATGATGACGAAGAATCAGAACTCGAGTCACTACTTGACGATGATGATGACGATCCACTTGATACTAAAATCAAACAATATTATATTAGGATTCTGGGGAAAAAAATACACAATACCTATCATATTTGATAGGTAGTTTAAATAAAAATATTATATTATTATTTTTGAAATAAATATTAGTTATATTATTATAATTTATAATACAATTGATTTACATACCATTCATTTTTGAAGACTCTTGTATAGGTTTTTCAGAAGTATTTTGTTTACTTATTACATTTTTATTGTCAGGTGTATTATTTGATACACCAGCCAATTGAAGCAACAATTTTGACCGAGAGTTCATGTTTAAAAGACACTAAAAGATAAATAATAATTTTTATTGTAATTGTCATATCTAAAAATATTTAATTAAATTTCAAACAAAAAAAGTCTTAAAGTCAAATAATTCAGTATTAAAATTAAGAAAAAAAAAAAAAAATTAGAAATAACGTCATAAGAACAAATAATCAATCAAAAAAACAAAAAGTTTTCAGCAACAGTGGCATAACACTAAATAAATCTAATGTAAGCCATAACCATTATTTCATCAATAAAGTCATAAGTCAAAATAATACAGTTTTTCAGATAAATAAAAAATAAACTATTTTCTTACCTTTGTGGCAATAACGCATTAACTTGAATTATGTCGTTTTAACGGAAAAGTATCGATACTTATCGGTATGACAGCTGAATACTAACTGAGATAAGACAGTATTGATATAAAACACGTGGATAACCAATGATAACGCAATAACGTCACAACTGCCATCTAGCGGCTAATTTTTGTATGTTCACTTATGTCGTTCTTGCAGTATAAAGAAAAGCCCCAAAATTATTATTATTTGCAAACAACTCAAAAATGACGATTTTTGTGTTATGTCGTTGTTGTAGCAAACAAGCGATATATATGCGCTCAAAAATTCAAAAATATGCAAATAATATGCAAAAAAATGTATTGTTTAAAAATACAAAAATTAAAAAATATAGTATTAAGTGAAAAAAAAATACAATTTAAATATAATTTTTTTAAATGTGTATAAAGCATAAAAATTTGTATTAATTATTGAAAGAATACCAACATGATGTAACAAAATGTGCTTTTAAATTATCAAATTGAAAGCTTCTACGATTGTCGCGTAGCATTACCCTGTATTTCGAAAAACTTCTTTCCACATCTGCTGACACAATTGGTGCGTATTTGAAACAAGAAATATCTTCTGGTTACAACATAATGGAACATAGTTTTTTCGTACAGTCGATTCATCGGGTAATTTTAGTTTAATATACTTTTCAAAAAAATTGTTAAATTCTGCGTTTTTTAATTTCCATAAAGGGATATCATTTGCTACCATAAACGTACAAGACATGAACAAGACCGCCGGCGACCAACAGTGGCCCATTATATAAAGTCATATCATTTGTAGGCCACTTGCCAGCCGTCGACCCAAGACATTTCTTCATTTTATATTATTATACAAGGTTTACTGATTAAAACTGTATAAATTTTATCAAAATCGGAAAATTAGAGTTATTTTTACAAACGTAAACATTTACGATAAATTATGTGAAAATAGTATGGCCACAAAATTACTTGGGGCGCCGGCGGCCATGCGGCAGCCAACGTGTTAAATCATTGTTAAACTCATTTAAATGTTGGTTATTTGTTCTAGCTTGAGTAAACGATTTTTGAATAAATTGTTGACTGACCTGTTCTTTATTAGACTTCAAATTATATAGTTTCCGATGGGTTTTGAAGTTTTCAAATGTTGTGTAACCTGTGATTTTCTATTACACGACACGTTGATACCACAACAAATACAAAATAATACACCTCCACCTGTTTTAAAGATGCCTGGATATTCGGTTACACAATAATGTGCTTTATTTGCCTTTGGCATTTTTTTAAATGTTGATAATTGATATTAAGAAAAAAAAACCTTGGACACACTACACCGACGAACAACAGCCAGTAACTAATATTCCTATAATATTATGTTAGCTTAATCGCATGCCCCAGAAATCAGATTATGATATATATATATATATATTTATCTATAATATGACGTCTATAATGCGTCTATACGTCTGTCACGGAATTCCCTTTTATAAAATATTTTGTTTTATTCGGTCGAATTATATTTGTCAGGAACGTCGGCGATCGGGCAAAATCGGCATGTATATCAAACTTTGAGTAAAATTTAAAATATTTTATCAAGTATTTATTAAATATGCACATTTTATGTAATTACCCCGAAATATGCAATTATTATGCATTTTGATGCAAATATGCAAAAATATGCAAAATAAAAAATTAACAGTAGAATCTACGTTTTACGAAACGTCAAGATATTTAATCAGAATTATTATACGTCAAATGTAGAAGAATATGCATTTGCATAAAAATCCGGGCCCTAATTATAATAAATAAAAACTCAATAGACGGCATAAGGTGTTTTGAGTTGGTTATATTAATTTGGTGCCGAGAAAGTTCGGACGGGCGTAAAACTCGGCCTTAATAAAAGTAACGGCAATAATAACAATAACCATAATCCGAACAGACGGTGGTAATAATAATATAAAAAAAGCATATTAAAACATGATATTGCGTAATCCCATTACACCTCCCTACCAAAAAAAAGATTGTTAACCTTTAAGGGTTAAGAATCTTTAACATCGTTAATTAATAGTTTACAATGGCTGAATTACATTGTTTACATTGACATTTAAATTTGTATACAGTTAACAATTTGATTACAGTATTACATTTGATTACAATAATGTGAACATTTTACAATTTTTTAATGTCATCATTATTATTATATTGTTTTTCATATTACAATTTTAATTGTGGTTAGTAAAATAAATTAATACATGATTTAATTAAACAAATAGTGTTAATAAGAATGATTAATAATTAATCTTTAATAAAATAATATATGTACCTGAAATTATAACATCATAAGCGTTACGTAAGTATAAAATTCAAGTGTTTCCCCTTTTATATAATAATAATATTTATCTTCCACCTATATATTAATCTATGTGAATAATTGTTAGATTTGTCATAGACATATGCAACTATAGATTTACTTAAGGTAATTCATTATGTAATTTGATATATAATAAATGTTAATTTATTTATTTGTTTTCATTGTTTAATTTATTTTGTCTTAGATTTATTATTAATTATAATAACTTATTTATTTTTAAAATTCCATAATTATTTTTTTTTGCTAATTTATATAGTTTAATGGGCTTTATCTTTGTTACTATGTAATTGAATAAGCATTTCGTTAAAATTACGTCAGTTATCGGGTCATGTAATATTATGATTAAAACCGCATGCTAGTTCATGAGCTTCTGACAATCCTAACATTCTACCATTTTTATTACCTAAATAGCCTGAATATAATACTTGCTTAGTTTCTAGGTTTGTTAATTCTATTATATATAATCATCGTTATTCCTAACGCTAATTGCCGATATGTTTAAATATGCTAAAATTCCTGTTAATCTTAAACGCTTAATTATCGTGATATCTGACGATCCGTTCCAAAATACTATTAGCGGCTCCCTATCGTTTATGTGCAAATATCTTTGCAAGTATACCGTAGACAAGGTCGATCCCCCCTGGTGACTTATATTTTTGTATAATTGTTCCAGCAATGGTTTAATCACTCTTGCCTTTTTCCCTCGGAATACTCGTTTGATATCCTGCACTATTTCCTTTAGGTCGCATCGGCGAAATCTTCTTAACTTATCATCCTTTGTAAGTATAAGAGGACTCCCCTCCAACTTCTTGGGTTGGTACTTTTCTAAACTATTCGATATCGCGCCGGATACCAGTAATGTTTCGTTTTTACTGACGGTAAAGAACTCGAAATCCATTATAAAAAAATTGTACCTGTGAGCTAAAATAAAATAATTATTTTTTAAATTAATTGGTTTCTTAGTATTTATTGCTATGTATATGATATATGTTTCCTGAGGTTATTCTTCGAAAATCGTTTCTACGATCACACGCCTCCTGATCAATTGTTCTATTAGTAAACCCAACTCTACACACATGGGTCGATTATGATTTGGTCTTACGATAACCGTGCGTACAAAGTCATTAACATGGATCATGACCCGTGCTAAGACATTCGGCCTGAAAGGTATGGTCATATTATTATTCGCCCTTCTTATATGTTCCGGGAAGCAATGTAATCTGACTACTGCCCCTCGCATTATTTGTGTATGATTGGTTGATTCAATTAATTCGTTTTTTAATTCTCTGAGAAATTCAAATGTTTGTAGTTGCATTCGAACGGTTCGTGCTACAGGTGGTACGTTCTCACCCATTTTGTACATTTTTTTTCTTACCCATTTATGTTTACGTGTGTTTTTATATATTTTTTTGTTTTTCTTCTTAATTTCTGAAATAGTTAAAAGTTATTGTTATATAAGTATTATTTAGAATATTATTTACGTATATGTATATATTATTATATTTTTTTTATGCACGTAATATTATTTTATTTAAATTATAGAATATTATAGAATATTATTTTACGTATTATTTCTTTATGCACGTATAATATTATATTTTATTATTATTATTTTTTTTATTCTTGTTTTTGCTATATTATTTATTTTGTTAATGAAATCTTTTAATTTATTTATCGAATATGTTCTTCACTGTAAATTTGGTGTTGAATATAATATTGATCTAATATTTCTGCTATTTTTAAACACATTGAATTATAGTCTGGTTCGCGGTTACATCTAGTGCAAAAGAAGGCTGTTAACGGACCCATAACGGTTTCAAGTTCAGTTTCGTTAAAAGGTACTTGCATATTATTATTTGCGTCTATTACGTGTTGTCTAAAACAACGTACATATACTGTGTTCCTTAGTACCAATTGATCATGTGTATCATTTAGTAACCTATCCCTTAGTTCCTTATAAAAAACATTAGGCTCAGGCATTGGTGTGGGTTCGCTCATGTTTATGTATTTTATTATATTTATTTTGAAATCCCTCTTGATTGTTTCCTGAAACATAATTATATATATAGTATTTCTTTAATAGTTTACATATACCTAGCTCTTATTTATTTATTAAATTAATTGTTTATCTCTAATTTAATTATTATTATTTCTATATTATTACTATTTTTCCTAACTTATATTTTATTTTTTTTTTATTTATTTATTGTTATTATTTTTATTTTATTAATTAATTAATTTTATTTATCTTGGTGAAGGGGGTGGAGTAAAGGGTGTCTCTTCATAATTTCGTACGTAGTTATTTCTATTGGGT